TCAGTGACCAAAGCTGACATGGGGTGTGCAGCATGGTGGGAGAGCAAGGAAGAGATGGACGCCTTGTGGACCCGGACCTTCAGCTCTCTTCTACTACATATCGCAGGTAGACTGTGCCTCAATCAGTTACAGTTCGATGAGGAAAATATGTAAACAGGCAGATCAACTCAACAGAGAACTGCTCCTTCTGCCTCTTCTCTCCCATTAGCTGCTGGAATTATTTTCCTGCTCTATTTAGAACTAGGAGAGCAGTGTATTTTTTTCCCTCTAATGTAAAGATTTTAAATACTAGTTTTAAGTTTGATTACAATCGATGCTGTATGAGCATCCTTGAATTTTGTCCAGTATAACTTACAGAAAGCAACCTTTTTGTTCCTTACAAGAACGAATTAATAGTCCAGTTTCTTTCCTGCCACCACTCATGAAAATCTCAACCACAACATACTTTGCCTAAGACAGTCCAGTTAAACAGTTGTCGAGAGAAGCAAAAGTTTATCTAAAGAAAAAAAGAGTCTCTTCCCTTAGTATCTAATGGTAAGACTTTCTTTCCAGCTATTAACTTCTCGGTGCTTGTGTTCCGTTAAACACATTAGCACAGTTGTATATTCTCAAAAAGCCATATGGGGCAAAAAAAAGTAAAATAAAATTTGCTTTAAAGGCTGTTGGAAGAGGAACAAAACTGTAGCGCGTGACTGCACTAACAGTTGGCATATCAGGTAACAATCTCAACATTAACTCCTCACTGAGGATGTGAGTGACAAATTTGAGTTCTGTTCCTGAGGTTCACATTATGGGTCTGTGCTAGATAACCAGACAGTTTTATACTAACTAAAAAACAAGCCTGATGTCTCTCCAAGACCAGCAAAAGTCATCTTTGTTAAGAAGAATCTAAGGATGCGTCAAGCTGGAAAGCTAAAACAAGCATCAATAAAATCAAGTAAAATTAATCTGAAATTTATCCAGCTTATTTCTGTTTAACTCTAATACAGCTGAAGATGAATGATCCAGGACAAACCTGATAAAGTCAAGTCCTCCTCCTTTTACAAGCCCCTTGTTATCTGTAGTTACTGCAGTCTGTACCTTTGTAACCACGTTCTATTACCTAGTATGTTCATCTAGTCAATAGTGGTGAATTTATAATTAGTTTAAAGCATGCAACATCTACTAAATAATGAATTTTTGTCTTGGTGAAATTACACTTTTTACTCAAACTACAGTCTAATCCATTATACATATTTTCTGGGCTTTCAACAATCCTTATTCCATTAGTTGCCCAATCAATGAACTCACCTCCCTTACCCTTGTTTTTGAAAAGTCTCCTTCAAAACTACACCATCAATGTTTGAGTGCAAGCACACTTCAGACAGTACATGATGAATGAGCCAAACGAGTTAAATACTACTATTTCTGTAGCACAGCAATCATGCCGTGCGCCTTCGGTATCAATGGAAGGACCAAACCCTGCCAAATTTTGATCTGAATTAGACTTGACAAGCAGGATGAAAGCAAACAAAAGGAGAGACAGTGGGAGGAGAAGGGTTACAACAGCAGGATTAGGAAATGCTTTTTAGCTTTTTTATGCATCTTAATAATTCCCTGGGGAGTTTTTAATGAATTTGTTTTACGCATTAGGATATTGCAGCCAGTGTCTGGAATGAAGGGCAGGGTAGGGTCAGCAGTCTCTGCTGCAACATCTGACTAGGCATAACAGAGCCCAGATTAAATATCAGCATTGCCAGTGTCACCCTGACACATGAAGAGGATCTCCTACCTCTTGCAATGTGTTGATATCCACACCATCCCCTTGAATAACTCTGAGATATGGTGGTAACAACTTGTAGCCTTTTGAGTTCTCTGTAATGGGAAACTTCTTCCCCAAGATCTCCAAGACCTATTGAAAAGAGAAGGGAGACAGTTCAAAATAAAAATAAAAACCTGCCATTCCAATAAAGAAACATAATTTTCACATTTGAGTCACGCTCTCTCTCAAAAAAAAAATATCCCTAAATATACCCACATATCCTGCTCCAGGTCTACCCAACATAGGTACACGGACAAAAAGCACGCCAGCCACTGTGGTGGAAGCCATTAGATGGAAGCAGTCACAGACCACACGGCCTTTAGGAACTTGTACTTCAGAGCTAATCAGAACCATGCTTCCCTCCCTTCTCTTTGGGTGCTGTGAGTTTTTGCGATTAAATGTGTCAACTGAAGATTCTGCTCTTCTTTTGACCTCGCTTAAGATGGTGGATGAGGCTTTCAGTTTTCTGCAACTTTGTTAGCCACCAGTAATAAAATTAGACACTTCAGTTAGGAGTTTTTCTTATCAGCTCTGATAAAGATTATTCAAAGTTCCGATTTGTGATATGTCACTTGTCCCAAAGGAAAAAAAAAAAAAGGTGTTAAAGCTGTATGAATTTAATTTGATAAGAGTACCAACATAACTAAAATCTCCCCTATTTCCTTATTAAAACAGTGCTGACAGCCACTCAAATTCAGAGGTATCAACAGCTTTTATTATAGAACCACAAGAATCACTATGCTCTCCAAAGAGCTACGAGGCAAGAAGCATTTTTCAACATGTGCCACTGACTTAAATGCACATCTTACAAAAGGGAGGAGAGTACTAAACCTGTAGCATAAAACACTGAACTACATTAATACAGGATGCTAAGATACCTAAACTTGGTGGTAAGAAGTCTTATCGGCCTGGCATTTATTAATACTCAAGTTGTTTCCCATTTTATTTGTTAAGTGATGAAAATTTCTCTTTATAGAATCATTCCAGCATCATTAGACCAGCAAAACTGGTAAAAGTAAAAGCTTCAAGAATGGATTTGATGAAAAAGATTAAACTATTCAGACTGCAAAAATGTTTCCATATCTATACTGAGATGAGGTAAATGCTTACATTTTTCATAGGTCCGTGTTATCCAGCATCAGCTGTATACTACCAGGTTAGAGCACTGTGTTTCCTATGTTTGTTAGCCAGTCATTACAAACCAAACAAATGCCCTTCCCAATCTTGTACACAAGTGACTTCAAGAAAGAATTACCTTTAAAACAGTGTCAAGGGGATTCCCAGAATCCGGTCTAATAATAAGCGGTGCCTCTGGACTTCGGGCTTCAATTATATGCCTTAAGTCGTCACCCCATATTTTTTCACAAGCATTGTAAATGTCATAGCTGTCACTAACCACAGATACAGGCACTGAAGAAAACTGTGTCACTATGTGTTCAAAAGCATCTTTTTCATGATCTTTCCCCCAAGCTGTTATGGTACTGTGAAATTAATTGAAAAATCCATATTAGAGCAGCATTTATATGTTAAATCACACATTCTGTATTTCCTATCAGCAACAGTTCAAGATACAATAGACAATATGATTACAAGACAGCATAAACTATGTGCTTATCAGCTCTGTGTTGCACAGATAGTAAATATACTATATACTAAATAAACAGCTCCCTGGATTTATCTTCAGCAATTCAGACAAACACTTGACACATGAAACTTTCATATGTAAATGTAATTTTTTTTTTTTTTTTACCACATTTGTGAAAGAGTCTCTCTCTTAAATCTGAAATTCAGACAGTTAGGAACTACAGATGCAAGAACAGGACATCTGCTCTGGCAACTTCAGAATGGGAAGTAGAGAACTAGCAGTGTTATGTTAGAAAAATGTTAGAAGAAAACACAGTTTATTTTCTTTTTTAGTAGTGATTTAAAACCATTATGCTCACTCATATAAACGTTCTTCTAGAAGAACCTCAGGGCATTACCCTTGGTACAAGGGTACAGGCAAGCACATAAAACAGAGGTGCTCAGAGGCAGTAAGTTACTGAATGCCAGCTGATCAGCAGTAGCTGTTCTCTACGTGGCCATCAGACCATAACATACTTCAGTAACTTGCGGATGAACACCTAAAAATGCGCTCATGTAAAGCATAGGTGTGCATTAAGAGCTAGTGGGCAGTGAATTTTTACCATAAAATGCTAGCATTAACTACTGTGCCAACAAGCCCCAGATCACAGTAGTGAAGAGACGAACAAGATTTGTCTCAAAGAGGTTGGGGCAGCCTGAGGAACAACCCCAGTGCCAGAAGCAAGCACCAAGCTCACAACACAACCTCACACTGCAGGTTGCGGAACAGTAAAACAACTCTGGAAAAATTTGGTTCTCGTGCACAAGACCCTTTTTATGTATCAGCTTGGAAAGGGTGACTGCAGTCTGCATTTGGCAATGCAAACTTTAACAAGGGCCGTTCAAGCTGTTTGCTCTCTCACCACCACTTCAATATGCTGTGCAAAAGACACTTGCTCTGACTCCATGTGTTTGCCTTCATTCCAAAGAATCTTATAGTTGCTTGGGCCATCATTTTTTGATTTACCTGTAGTATTAAGCCGAGAGAAAACATTTCAGACTGTGCTGGTTTGGGCTGGGATAGAGTTTATTTTCTTATCAGTAGCTAGTATGGGGCTATGTTTTGGATTTGTGCTGGAAACACTGTTGATAACACAGGGATGTTTTAGTTACTGCTGAGCAGGGCTGACACAAAGTCAAGGCCTCTTCTGCTCCTCACCCCACCCCACCAGCATGGAAGCTGGGGGGGCACAAGGAGCTGGGAGGGAGCACAGCTGGGACAGCTGACCCCAACTGACCAAAGGGGTATCCCAGACCATACGACATCGTGCTCAGCACATAAAGCTGGGGGAAGAAGGGGGACGTTGGGAGTAATGGCGTTTGTCTTCCCAAGTCACTGTTACACGTGACGGATCCCTGCTTTCCTGGAGATGGCTGAACCCCTGCCTGCCCATGGGAAGCAGGGAATAAATTCCTTGCTTTGCTTGTGTGTGCGGCTTTTGCTTTTCCTATTAAACTGTCTATCTCAGCCCATGAGTTTTCTCAATTTTACTCTTCCAATTCTCTCCCCCATCCCAGCAGGGGGAGAGTGAGCAAGCAGCTGAGTGGGGCCGAGTTGCTGGCCAGGATTAAACCACAACAGTTCCTTTTTGGTGCCCAACATGGGGCTTGAAGGTTTTGCGATAACATATTTAATTGGAATGTGCTAGATCAAATTTATAGCTGTTATTGCTGTTTAGCTATTAATCAGCAGGCTCCTGTGCTTGCCACGGGGCTTGCTTGCCTTGCTGTATATTAGAATCTAGTGCTCAGTGGCTGGTTTTTCCTTTCGCTGCTCGCTGTGCTGCTGATCACCTTACCCTGCTGTGCCTGGGAACGCTTTATAACAGCCACGGCCATGTGCCTGGGCTGGCAGATGGCCAGGGCATCGCTGCTGTCCCTGTGCTGCTGCACTGGACAGGCTGGAACTGCGGTCGAAGGGGCTGTGACAGGGGACGAGTCCACATATCCCACACAGGAGCAGGACACCCCAAAGTCCCTGTGGCCATGGTCAAGTCCACACCAGAGCAGGTACATCTCAAAGCATCTGTGCCCGTGGTTATGCCTGTGCCGCAGCAGGTATACCTCTGGAGGGACTGTGGCCCAAGGATAAGTCCATGCTGCAGCAGGTACACTCTGAAGCACCAGGGCCTGGGCATGAGGTCATGCTGGAGCACCTCAGGGTGTGTGGCGCAATATTAAACCCTATGGTCTGGTCCAAAGGGAGCAGGGATGGAGATTGTAATGGAACTACCTTCAAATTGTTGTAACCCAGAATTTGAGTTGCATGATACAGAAATTACTATAGCAGGAACCACCCGAACCAACGGAGGTCAAGCCTCAAAAGAAGCAGTGCAAGTGCAGCAGTGACCCGACCTGAGCTGGCTTTGGTGCCCAGTAATTCCACACAACACCCCACCCCTCCTGTCCTAAGCGACCACCATAACAGATGGAGCCCAAAGCCATGGACTAAATTAACTCAATGGACATTTGTGGATGTTTATGGACATTTTACAGACATTTCACAGGGGTGGTCCATAGACTAAGGGAATGGTATCTGTGTATTGTATCAAAGGATGGGAAGAGGGTGGTGGTTAATTAGGATGTATTGGATAGTGTGGGGCTGGAGGATGACATAAAGGGTATGGAATAAGGGATGGAAAAGGTGCTAGTTTTGACTGGGGTAGAGTTAGTTTTCTTTATAGTAGGTAGTATGGGGCTATGTTTTGGATTTGTGCTGGAAACACTGTTGATAACACAGGGATGTCTTAGTTACTGCTGAAGAGTGCTTATACAGGCTGGTTACACAGCTGTGTGGTGCTTAGTTGCTGGCTGGTATTAAACCATGACACAGACAAAGTTTGTCAGTTCTACTAATCAAGCAGGAGTTTCCAGAGCAGCACTACAGCAATGGTCCAGAAAGTTATATGAAGCAGTGTTCCTTTAAAGATGATCACTACCTTCTGAGGGCTATTCATGTAAGCCTTTCAATCATCTGTCTTGCAATCCTAAGTGAAAACAGTCACTATTTAAAAGCACCAGGTTTTTTACTCAATAAGAAAACAACCCAACTGTTCCTTCCTTTATATTCTGCTCATTTCAGTATGCAGACATACAAGGGAAATCCAAGGATCTGCATTCACTCCTGACCTTGTACAGGACTTGGATATGAAAAATGAGAGCTCTTCATCTCAAATGTCTGTTTGAGATCAGTTCCTTACTCTCAAAAACTCATTCCCAATTCTTAGTGAGAAATCAAGGATTTACCATTGGCTGAATTAGTTACGCTGATGGGAAGCTTTAGAGCAACTGCCTCTTCTGGAGGGAGAACATGATCTGGGAGAGTCCAAAATTGCAACTTACATGTTTTTTCATTTTATGATTTTATGTTTAAAACTAAATCTACAAGTTCATAATGTGATTCCTCAATAACTACTTTAACCTGTAAGCCTTCAAGTCTATTCTAAAAAGAATCATCCAAATTTACTTAGACTCTCATAAGAAAGCTGTTAAAAACATTTAAAACACATTTATAGTTAAGAGCAACCGTGCCACTGTTGTGCCCCTAGAACATACAGAAGCACCAGTATTGAACTTCAGCCTCAACAGCTGGATCAGTCATGGCTAATGCTGTATGATCTAAGTGACACAGTTTAATATTTCAAAGATGGATAAGAAAAAAATATATTTTGTTAAGCTATTTTTAAAAAGGTTTTAATAGCCCAGTATCTTACCTGTGTTCAGCAGCTGGAACAGAATATCCTGGAACTGGATCTTTTGTACCATAGTACTTTTTAATTAACGCAATTCCTGCTACAGTGTCTGTTCCTTTGAAGTTTACCAAATGAGCTGAAGCTCCTATTCCTGCAGTCTGAAAAAGAAGCAACTTTCAGTTGCCACGCCAAAAAAAGAAGCCTAAATCCAGTCATCGCCTGGCACTAGTGCGAATAGCAAAACTCTGACTCAGTTCCTGTTTCGCCAATACCCTCTTCGTGTACCTACAGGGCAAAGACAGCTTCCATATAGGAAAAAGCTCTCCCAGCCTGATGCTCAGGGTTCAGACACATACCCACCCCTCACTCCAGATCTCCCCCCTCGACAGTAAGTCCAAACACAGAGCTCCACGCATTCACAATTTCACTGCTGAACAGGGACACAACTGTTAACAGATACATGCTACAATCCTTTATGGTTAAGAACAATTAGACTTCTCAAATTATTAGACAAGTAGTATTACCTCTTGTGAAGAAACTCCTCTGTAGCCGAAGTCATGCAGTTTATATTCCAGTCCTTCCAAGCTGCCAGAAGTCTCTAGCAAATATTTGGCCAAAATCTTTTTCTGCTCTCTAGAGTTTGTAGCCACTGTGATTGGATACCATGACTGCACAAGAATAGTCTAAAACAAAACCCATCACATTATTAGGTGTATGTTTGCTTAGGACTCAAAAATCCCCACTTGGCATTTAATCAGGCACAAAAAGGTCTATTTATTTTCATTGCCCATTCAGAAAGTACTGATGCCTCCAACAGTTTGCTTTAGGGCTAAAGTAATTAGCCTGTGTAATACTTTAGAAGGTAGGCCAGGTATTGACCATCTCAGGAGTTATCACTCCCAAGACACAACTCCCTCCATCCTCCTTTCCTCGTGGATGAAAGTACCAATGTGAATTTCCTGTAAAATTATTACAATCTCTTGCCAGGTAGAGGCAAAAGGTCTGTGTGAGAATCTAGGCTTACTTAAAGCAGACAATGAAAGCTGCCAAAGATTCCCCTTAAACCAATGAGGATTCAGCATTTATTTAAGTGCATTAATTTTTACTTAGGAAAAAAAACATGTTAAATTTCCCAAACTGACCTCAATCCAATTTGTGAGCCAGTAGCACTCTGGATCTGTGTTTTCTACTGTGAAAAGAACATTTCCTCTGGGAATTACAGAGCCCTCAGGAACAGCCTTTATTTCTATAGGAAGGTGGCCATCATATTTCTGTGTAAGAAACAGTAATATTGTCAGACAAGAGGAAAGATTAGGACCTACCTTTCTCTTATTTGACTGCAATGGATAAAACTCAGGCTATGAGTTTATTGATAAAGCTTTCTTCTTTATTTCTTTCAACCCTAAAAATAATTTGGTTTGTTTGCATACCCACCAGCCCATATAAATAAAAAAAAAAATCCATATTTATCGAAAAAGGAAGAAAATCCTGTAACAGAAAATAGTCTCTTTTATCAAACCAAATGATGGTTATCAGTTGTATTCCTTGTGCTTAAGCCAGGAAGGCTTAAATATTCTATAAAGATACATAAGTTCTAACCACGGAACAAGAAACATTTGCTACTCAGTTTTCTTCAGTGCTTTCATATGACATAAGCTAAAAAAAGTTTAGCTATTATCTAGGCCTTCAAAAACTCTCTAGTTTTGCTTAGTATAGATGTGTGCTTTCTTAATTTATTAGGATTCATTTAATATCTATTTTAAAGAATATTTTATCATCTCAGATATTCACTAAACATGAAATCCAATCTTGAAGCGTCACTCTTTTGTTAAATTCAGTCCTTCATCCCCAAAGGACTAAACATTGTGTGAAATATGCCTTTTGAAAAAGACTAAGTTGCAAACAGCAACTCTGGAAGAGTAATTATAACTTTCTGACAGAGCTCTGCAAGCTAAACTGAAAATATTTAAAATGTTTTGTATGTTAGTATTTTTTGACAGAAAGCTTCTCATGAGATATTCCTTAAAGGCCAGAAAAATTGCATCAATTCAGAGACATTACGCAGATTCCTAAGTAGCATCAAAACGTATTCTCCAGTGCCTCTTCTACACTACAGTTTAAAAGTTTCTTCGCAAGTGTAATATGCTGAAGCAAACTGTGTTTATATATCACATGGGAGTTAACCGTTGGACTTGGAGATGTCTGTTCTGGATTAACAAAGGACAACGAAGCCTTCAAAAAGGCTCAGAATAATTTATTAATGATTCAGTGCAGACAAAAGCATAGTTAAGTGAAAAACCAAAACATTTCAGAGTTGCTATAGGCATTGATTTTGTCCACAGAAGAAAGCAATATGGTCATGCCATGGCACTGTATTATAGCTCTTTTCAAAATATTTACGTAGAATCAACTTGTAAAATCCAGGGTTTACATCTCTATCACTCATCATCAGTTCCTGCCAACTTCCAGCTCTTATTACACCATGCCCTCGTTCTCCAGGTAGTCCATTCCTCTCTTCCACCCCTTCACCCCATCAGTATTTACTCATTCATCTACTCTTGGTGCACATTCACGGTGTATGTTTCAAATTCATTTTGGCACTTCACTCATCCAGCGGTTGCTCCCTCCACTTTACCTAACACTACACATTAGGTAACAGAGCCAGAGAGCAAACAGCGGCAGGTATGTGAATATGCACAGGAATCCAGTGAGCAGAAGCAGGGTCTCTGTGTGCTTATAAGGGCATACAAAGACCCAAAGGGTACATACACTTCCAGTTTGAGAACCATCAGCATTTAAGATCAAGAAGTGGAAATCACGTTTGGTTATATACATGCATAATTTTAACAAGAAAATCTGACAAAGGAATAAACAATGTATACAAGGATACGCAGAAAGAGTTCTTTTGGAACAGAAGTTCAACGGAATTAGTTAAACCATGTTAAAACTCAAGTGTGGACAGACATGCGGCATAAAAAGGGTATTAATTCAGCTTAGCCAAAGAGGGATCAAGATCACTTTAAATACAGATGAGAGCAGTTCACAATGTATAATGTAGTTTAAACACAAATATGGATTGAATTCATATCTGTAGTTATTTGAAATGGACTCAAGTCCACTACAAACCTCTCTGTAGCTCCCTTTTAGAAAAAAGGGGGTTTATTTACCTTGCTGCCTTTTGCAACATTTAGTTGAAATTCACTTCTCTTGCACACCTTATGGTCCACCCTGGTTGCAAGACGGCATCCAGATGCATTCAGACAGATGCCACCATAAAACACATACAGTCAGGGTATCCAGGGGAAAATGCAAAGAACGAAAAATTGTGTTTTCGAATGTCAAAAATATCCATTCACTAGAACCCACAATGAAACTTGGCATTTAATTAATCTGCAGAGATTAGAACAGTTCTCATGAATGTTATTAGTCAATCTGCTGCTTTTACTGAGAAGAGATGCTTACAATTACTTGAAGACTGACACCTTTTTAAACAAAAGGGAAAGA